ATAAGACATGAATATGAACCGAGATTAAGCTAAGCTTGTCGTACATCAGGATTTCCACGGGTCTCAATGTCCATGGCATAAAGTGTCGGTAATTGGTGCCAGTTCTTACATTGTTATGGGCTCGGGTGATGCCCGCATGTGGATTTTTAAAGGCTGGTAGGTGTGAGTACACCAGTGTGTGTGGTAGTCTATGCCTGCTCTGAGCTGCCTGTTGTCGAGATGGGCAGTGCACTGCTGTTAGAGGGTTAAAGTCCCAGTCAGCCAACACCTCTGCTTGGTAGTAAACTCAGGCGGTAGAGCATGTTTAGGGGGCAGAGGTCAGAAGGGGTCCCCCAAGTGCCCTGGGCTGTCGTGGAGGCCTGCATCCTCCGGTCGTGAACGAGGCCTCTCCTGCAGGGGGCCATGTTCTGCCCTTGTGAGGGGCTGCAGCTTGTCTCAGTAGGGTGAGCATTTCTGTGGCGCTGGTTCAGCTGCCGCTGTGACCGATGCTTGGGGGCTGTTCTCCTTGTGGTCTTCAGCCCAGGTGGGCCCATCATGTGGGGCTTGGAGCTTGTGTTACAGGGATTGCCCAAGGGGGATTTGCCCTCTGCCTGCCTCATGTCGCCCCGCTTACTTTGCGTTGCTAGTGTAGTTGGACTCACTGTGGATTCTGCAGGTTCATCCTGGAGGCAGTCAGTGAGTACGGGTACAGTTTGCGGTGAGTGCGCCCATCGGTTCCTTGCTTCCTCGCCCCTCAGGCATGCACATGACTGGGAGGCGTCAGCCATCTTGTGGTGAGCCACCCCGTTTGCACTTCGCTTGAAAGTTGGTGCTGGAGCTGTGCAGTAGCCCTGGGTTGTTGCCCTTGGGGACCGGGATATCCCCCACTGGTCCAAAGGGGGGGACAGCTATACACCGACCGGAGAGCGGCCGTCTCACCCCAGCTCAAGCTCGGGTAGGCCTCAGGCCTTCATCCAGTGGCACTGATGCCATATCGGGTCGAGAGTGGTACCGTCGTGTTCAGCACCAGCTTGTGAGTAATTTGGTTGCTGTTGTGGGTTTAGTGCCCATTTGTGTCTCTGGATTAGCCTCAGTTTAGCCACACAGACTCGGGAGCTCAGACAAAACAGGTCTGATCTGGCCAGTGGTCAGGCTCCGCCACCCTCAATTTAGTTTTTTGCATTTTTCACACACAAACAAATATGAACGCCAACTTTTGTTTGTGACTAAGTAGCTACTAGAAAAGACTGGAAATACCCCATTTGTAATATCTTGGGTTGTCTACTATTGCTAATGGTATGCCATCATGGGGGTAATTCTCATTCCTGGGCTACCATACGGTCTCAAAAGCAACATAACCAATCTGGCAAATTTCAATGTGAAAAAAATGAAAAATTTAACATGCTATATTTGACCCTGTAACTTCCCAAAACACTATAAAACCTATACATAGGGGGTACTGTTTTACACGTGAGACAACGCTGCATACAAATATGTGTATTTTATTGCACTAAAAGCAAACAGTAGCAAAGTGAATTACGGGTGAACAGACATATAGTCAAATTCCAGATTTTGTTTATTTTTTGTTTTGATCACAACGTGTACATTTGGCTCAGTCCTTAAGGAGTTAAGTAGCATGTGAGTGCACCATATTTTCTTTCATCAAGAATACATTCTTGAAATTGTTTGCATTGCAACAGCTTGGAATGACAGCATTATAAGCTATCTAGCATTCTCAAGCTTCCTGTATGTGTATGTAAATTGAAAAGCCCATCGGCTATAAATGTTGTAGGCTTTAGAAACAGTTAAACAAGGTCAGAGTTTCCAACTTTAAATACTGCATACTGCTCTCACATACAACTCTCCTAAAAGGATTCAAGATGCAATATAGCAGATGCAAAATCTAAATGCATGTATGCGTATATGTGTTATGAGTGATGAGTGAGATATGTAATATTAAAGGACCACTCTAGGCACCCAGACCACTTCAGCTTAATGAAGTGGTCTGGGTGCCAGGTCCAGCTAGGGTTAACCCATTTTTTCATAAACATAGCAGTTTCAAAGAAACTGCTATGTTTATCAATGGTTTGAGCCTTCCCCCATTCCCTGTAGTGGCTGTCTCATTGACAGCCACTAGAGGCGCTTGTGTGCTTCTCACTGTGATTTTCACAGTGAGAGCACGCAAGCGTCCATAGGAAAGCATTATGAATGCTTTCCTATGTGACCGGCTGAATGCGCGCGCAGCTCTTGCCGCGCGTGCGCATTCAGCCGACAGGGCAGAACGGAGGCGGAGAGGAGGAGGAGAGCTCTCCGCCCAGCGCTAAAAAAAGGTAAGTTTAAGCCCTTTTCCCCTTTCCAGAGCCGGGCGGGAGGGGGACCCTGAGGGTGGGGGCACCCTCAGGGCACTATAGTGCCAGGAAAACGAGTATGTTTTCCTGGCACTATAGTGGTCCTTTAAGCAGATGAAAAATGTTATGACTTAACCAAATAGATTATTCAATAATTACAGCTCATGTAGAGGTTATGGTACCAGGACTGCCTAGAACTCCCGTACCCCCTATTTTAAGTAGTCTAACCATTACAGGATGCAGTGTTCAGCCTATCATTCTCAATCAATGACCTAAGACCTGCACTAACAGGCTTATTTCAAATAGACAGCTTTCAGCTCTGTGTCAGAAGTAGTGGAGGCAAGGAATAGAGCCCTGGGAACTCCAGGTAAGAAACCCATTAAAAACAAAAAAAAAAGTTACCTGCACTCATCCCAAATCCCTGTGCATATTTAAACAAATGGAGGTTATTTAGTTACTCCAATGACCGTGTTTTTCTTTGGTTTTTACTGTATGTATTGGGACTCATGTGTACTGCGGTCATTGCTGCCGCCCATGAGTAGTGGGCGTTTGAGTGCAGAACCTGTTTTGGGGGTTTTTGCATAAGAAACCCACTAAGCCCACTTAGCATATTGATACTGTATTCACACCCACAAGCAAGAGTAGTGGGGCCTGGTATGGTATCTAATTGGTTCGAAGTAGGGAACGGGACACGCCAGGAATGTCCCTTGGCACCTCTTTTATATATCCTGACAATAGAACCTTTAGCAGCTGCAATTAGACTAAATGACTCAACTCATGGGTTAGAAAACGTTTTGGAACATCATAAAATCACCCTTTACACAGACTATATCATTCTTACATTGTCTAAGCCAATTGAGTGCATACAACAAGTTTTAAAATTAAAGAATTAGATACTCTGGTCATAAATTAATGCATAAAACTCAAATTTTAAACTTTAATATAGCTTCTAATCAAATTGTGTTTTTAAAGGAGAGGTATGAATGGAACTGGAATAATAATTTTATTGAAACCTAGTTATTCAAATTATACCGGATTTAAATAAAATAGTCAAAGCAAATTATAAACCATTAATAAAAAATGTTTACATTCCATAAATGGAAAGGAATAGATGTTGGGTAGAGTAAATCCAATCTCAGCATATGTAGTACCTAAATTAATGTGCATGTTCGGCTCAATACCTCGGAGAGTGTCATCAACGTTACTTTCACAAGGTAAGGTAAAACACCTAGAGTTAAAGACTGTGGATTACATTTTCCTGATATATTTGATTTAGATTATGGTATCATGTTCTCCCATTTTCAAAAATGGGATAGTCTAATATTTGTTGACCAATTGGAAGGATAGAAATATCTTGATATCGCCTCATATTGTACTCTTAGGGAAATTTAAATCATTTTAAGATCTTTAAACCCAATATGGATTACCTCATAAAGAATTCTATAATTATGCTAAAATAAAACACTTAATTACAGCATGGGGTATAAAAGACCATCCCGACTTTGAAAACTTCTTAACTAAACCTTCTAAAAATAAACTTATAACTAAAGCCAATCAAATAGTGAAACAACATAGGGCCTCAGAGAAATCCCAATCTATACACAAATGGGAAAGAGATATGGGGATATTCTTTGCGCTAGATAAATGGGATGAGGCATTTCAAACGGTTAAATAAGTTACCCATAATTTAAGCCTACACGAAAGCTTCTTAAAAATTACACACAAATGCTATTTTAACCCACGTAGAATCAAAAAATGTAAGCAAGATTATTCTAATATTTGTTGGAGATGTTCAAGGACTATAGGAACATTGTATCATATGTGGTGGGAATGTACGCGTTTAAATGAAATACAAAACAAGATATCCACACCCTCCCCCTCACCTGGTTCGGGAATATATGCTACCAAGAAACACACCCCAAAGGACTCATATCATTATTGTACTCACATCTCAGCGGGGAGGCCAAAGAATGGGGGGAATTACGTTACACAGATCAGTGGGAGACGGACCTGGGTGAGACATTAGAGGGCTCCGACTGGCAAGATATATGGGAGGCCACAGCCAGAACATCAATATGTGTCACCCTGCAAGAACAATCATTTAAAACACTTTTCAGGTGGTACACCACACCATTAAAACAATATCGCATGCAGATCACTGCCACAGATCAATGCTGGCACGGTTGCGGGGAACGAGGCACCTACGCGCATATGTGGTGGAAGTGCCCCTTGGTACAAGCATACTGGGTTCAAATTATCAGCCTGAGCACAAACATACTGCAGAGGCCGCTACAGCTAGACCCCTGGGCCTGCCTACTCTCCAGACCATCGGTCGGCCTCCCACGCCCAGAGCAACAATTATTAAACATGATTTACTTAGCGGCACGCAGGGCGTTAGCACAGAAGTGGCGATGCCCGGAATTACCCCCGGTGGCCCTGGTCCTAGCAAAGATAAAAGACAATTACCTAATGGATAGACTAACCTCCCTAGTCAGACACACCACTAAAAAGTTCAACAGAACTTGGGAGTTATGGGAACAATATCAGGAAAACACGGCAGGTTGATAAGAGACTCAAGCACACACATGGGAGGGGGAGCGGAGGGGACACACGACGACTCTCGTCCGGGCTGCGGGCACGGATGCACCGACATACTGCACTACCGGACGCCAGGTTTAGTTCCATATATGTTTTATATGTTTTACCCAAAGGAATATTTCGAAATGTTAAATGAGTATTAGTTAACAACCATCTAATGCCATGCCATTCCAGGGGACATATGTACTTAGGCCAAGACTCGATAGACAGCCACGTAGAGGTAGTGTGCTAAAACACTAAATAGCAATTCAGCCACTGATGAGACTGGAAGCGCTAGTAAACAAGCACATCAGTTGTAGATCACTGCTCTTCTTCTCTATACCACTGAACCACTGAAAAAGGCTTCTGCGTAAGCCTATAGAAGTAGTAATGTATGTACCTCTATTGCGGCCTCTACGTAAGCCTATACCCTGACAAGATGATACGTTCATACAGCGGCTTCTGCGAAAGCCTTGGCCTTTGTGCACTTTATTATTGGCTATGAAAAAATACAAAAATTAAACAAAACAAAAAAAATCAAAAAAAAAAAACAATGATCACACGATAAACATCTCCTGGAATACAGTGGCAGGCACGCTAATTTATTTTATTACTGTTTTTAAGTTCGTATAATTTCCCATGCATTTGTTATACTGTTAATTATCATTAGAACATAAATACACCAACTGAAGTGTCACGTGAAACCACAGTAAGGTCTCACAGATGAACTAGGACACGTAACATCAGCAACCCTCATGACGACGGACAGACAGCCGCAAAGCTTAGGGATATTAATATGCAAACGTGTACTAACGCTTTACCCTTCCTTTCTGTACAACCAAACTGTCTGAATATGTAATGTGGCTTCTGCATAAGCCTATACGTTGTCATAAATATGCATTTCTTTCTGGTGAAAAATAAAGAATTCAAAAAAAAACAAGATATCCAACATATGCATTGACTTTGGAGTGTTAACACAAGCAATATCCCCTCAAACGTTTGTAACATTAAACTCAAAATTTGAGTAATTCTTATTTTATGGGCAACAAAACTTTTAAAAGCCAGAAACTGGAAAACAGCCAAAGTAACAACATGGCCAGAAATAGCCTCCCAGATTAATTACCAGCTCTAAATAAAGGAAGTAAAATTAAATTATATAACAAAAATCTGGACCAAATTGATAGACATATGCCCGTACGTAATTTCGGTTTAATTAGAAGATATGAGCAAAAAATAATACAGTTTTGACTATATATAGTAGTAACAAAACAGAAGGCTCCCAGAGACCGACACACGATGCCCATGCTCCGTTTCTTAATCTCCCTTTCTCTGTTGCCCTCTTGAAGTAATCTGTTAATGCAATGTATGAATGAGTGAGTGAATGAAGTTACAATCTAAAAATATCTAGAAACAAACAAGACAAACCCTCAAACATAATAATAAAACTATAAGGACATTAGAATTGGGATCTTTAACCTTAAAACATATTAAAGTTAACAAGGACTGTATATTTGCACCATGTTCTATATGTCTTATACTTTTGCTTATATCTGTATGAAATATAACATTTTAAATATTGTAAAACAAAGTTTTGTATACCCAATACTTGAAATATTTTATAAAGATTATTAATGTTAAAACAAAAGAAGTCAAACCCCTCTAAAATGGTGTGATGACTTACAATGTGCGGCACCATGATCACTGTAGTAGTTATTGAGCTAGAATTGTTTCTTTAAATTGTAATTTGTGGCATCAATCTGCTCAATTACTATCTTGTAGAGTGCATTTAGACATCTCTGAATTGCCCCAAAATAGCCCCAAACTGGACCTATTAAGAAATGCACTAACTTGGCTGCAAATATAGTCCAGATATTAGGTTTGTAAAAAAGCTTTATTTAATGTTACACACCAATATTTAAAATAAAGTAAATTATAAAACAATAACAAGTTATAAAATACCAAATGGTACAATGGAGTCTTTATAGTTGTCCACACACATCTCAATCACTTGTAACACTACCGGTTAATTTAAAGATTGGTTGATTTAAGAAGCATTCAAATGGTAACAGCTTTAATTAAATGCAAATTATATGAAGCAAACAATCACCTGCCACCCACGATCTCCTTTAATAATTGATTGATACCATACCAATAGGGATTTGAGGAGACCTATTTTTAATTTTATTCATGTATTGATATATTTTTATGGGGGGGGGGGAGGGAGTTCTAACTGATTGGTGCCTGGTGAGCATTGCAGTTTTTTATGACTCCTGAAAAAAGTATCAAAACTGATAATATGCCATGAAATTGCTAAATTCATGGTGAAGTTTTCAAATGTGCACCCAAATGACATGAGTTGGAGTTTCCCAGAATTCTTCAGTTCAGAGAAACATTTGACCTTAGAAAATGGACTCATTAATAGGGACACTATAGTCACCAGAACAACTACAGCTTACTGAATTTGTTCTGGTGAGTAGAATCCTTACCTTCAGGCTTTTTGCTGTAAACATTGTCTTTTCAGAGAAAATGCAGTGTTTACATTACAGCCTAGTGATAACTTCACTGGCCACTCCTCAGATATCTATTAGAGATCCTTCCTGGGTCATGGCTGCCTAAAATGCATCCAAACATTCAGTATCCCCTCCCTCTGCATGAAGACACTGAACTTTCCTCATAGAGATTCGTTGATTCAATTCATCTCTATGAGGAGATGCTGATTGGCCAGAACTGTGTTTGAATCATGCTGGCTCTGCCCCTAATCTGCCTCTTTGTCAGTCTCAGCCAATCCTATGGGCAGGGCCGGATTAACATAGGGGCTGATGGAGCTGCATCTCCAGGCCCAGGCCCATGGAATAGGCCAATTTTTTTTACACACTACTCTTAGGTTTGCCACCTGACTGGTATTTTACTGGCACAGCCGGTATTTGAGGCTGCCTGGCCGTGCCGGTATTGTAGTAATACCGGCAATACAAATGCAGGTCATTTTCACAGAATACATGGAAATTACTCTGCAATACCAGCACCGGCCAGTAGGGGTCACTGTGTGTGGAGAGAGGCAGGGATAGGAAGTTACAGAATATCCCTGCCTCTCTCTACTACTCACTGATCCGTGGGGGAGCAGCAACACAGCACAGAGTCCAGACAGCAGCTCTACAGCTCAGGTAAGTGAGGGATGGGGGAAAAGGCAGCAGTGACACATGGGGACACTGACACACTAGGGGACACATGGGGACACCGAGACACTAGGGGACATATGGGGACACTGAGACACTAGGGGACACATATGGACACAGACACTAGGGGACACTGAGACACTAAGACACAGACACTGGGAGACCTGGGAACACTGAGACACTTAGGGACACTGGAAAACTTGGGGACACTGAGACACTAGGGGACACTGAGACACTAGGGGACACATGGGGAGACAGACACTAGGGGACACTGAGACACTAGGACACATGGGGACACAGACACTGGGAGACCTGGGGACAATGAGACACTTGGGGACACTGGAAAACATGGGGACAGTGTCCAAATGTTTCAGTGTCCCCATGTCTCCCAGTGTCTGTGTTCCTAGTGTATCAGTGTGCCTGGTGTCCCCATGTCTCCCAGTGTCCCTATATGTCCCAGTGTCCCCATGTCTATGTCCACAACTGTCCCCATGTCTCCCAGTGTTCCCAAGTGTCTGTCTCCCAGCCAGTGTCCCCAGGGCTCCCAGTGTCCCCTAGTCTCCCAGTGTCTGTGTTCCCATGTCTCTGTGTCCCTAGTGTATTATTGTCCCTAAATGTTTCAGTGTCCCCATGTCTCCCAGTGTCTGTGTCCCTAGTGTTCCAGTGTCCCCATTTCTCCCAGTTTCCCTAAATGTCTCAGTGTCCCCATGTCTCCCAGTGTCCCCATGTCTCTGTGTCCCCAGGTCTCTCAGTGTCCCTGGGTCTCTCAGTGTCCCCATGTCTCTCAGTGTCCCCAGTATCCTAGTGACATGGGGACACACTGAGACATTGGGACACTGGGAGAAATGGGGACACAGACACTGGGAGACTAGGGGACTGGGCAACATGTGGACACTGACACTGTGATACATTGGGACACTGAGACACTGGGTGACTTGCGAGACGTAGACACTGGGAGACAGGGAGACACTGGGAGCAATCCATCTATACAGCAGAATCAAACTATGAGTAGTTTGTGATTTTACAGAATTTTCTCTGCTGTCACTCCTTGTGATTTGCATCATGTGATGTCACGCATAACTAATTAATTATACAAATGATTAAGGCTGGTATTTTTTTCCAAGAAAGGTGGCAACCTTAACTACTCTTCACATACTCTTGCTTAAAGGAGCACTATAGGGTCAGTAACACAACCATGTATTCCTGACCCTATTGTGTTAAAACCACCATCTAGCCCCTCTGGCCTCTTTGCCTCCCTAAATATAGTAAAATATTACTTGTATTCAAGTCTGCAGCTGCTGGCTCAGAAGTGGTGGTCTGAGCAAATTACAATACTCCCCCATAGGATTGGCTGAGACTGTCAACTAGGCAGATCAGGGGCAGAGCCAGCACAAGTCCAACATAGTCCTGGCCAATCAGCATCTCCTCATAAAGATAAATTGAATCAATGCATCTCTATGAGGAAAGTTCAGTGTCTGCATGCAGAGTGTGGAGACACTGAATGGCAGTGCTGCACACTAGGCAGTACTGCCCCAGGAAGCACCTCTAGCAGCCATCTAAGGAGCGGCCAGTGGAGTTATTTTCTCTGAAAAGACAGTGTTTACTGCAAAAAGCCTGAATGGAATGATTCTACTTACCAGAACAAATACAATAAGCTGTAGTTGTTCTGGTGACTATAGTGTACCTTTAAGTTTGGAAGAGGGATGTATGGGAACAAAACTTGTGTGGACTGGCTGACATTAAAATCAGTTTAGGTAATGCAGACATTGGTCTTTCTAACACGTTGGCATGTCCCCTTTCTTCTACACTCACTACATACACCTTTTCTCTGCCTCAGACTACATACCAGGAACATCTGCCTGCTAGTAAGAAGGTAAGAAGACAAGTGGACCAGTGAGTGCTAGGGCAAAGTCCTTAGAAAGCAAGGAGTGAGCGCATTATTAGACGCATTTATGTCAAGCTCAAGGTGCTGCCTACATAGTATGCCCTTAGTTGGACAGCCTGCAAGATTGGCAGGCAGCCTGACATGCATTCATGCCAGGCTGACCTTCCAATTCTTTGGACAAACATGCCCCCTTTTTGGGCATGTTCAACCCTTTTGGCAGGTCTTGTCACGTGATTCGCACCAGTGTCACACCCTTTTACCCTGCCCATTGACTTCCTGCTTCACTGGACACTGCTGTTAGGGGTTATGGATTTACTTGAAAGATGATAGCA